ACAACATTAGTACCTTAACCACATATGTTAGCTTTAATTATAATATGCTATACAACATAAGTAGTACCTTAACCACATATGTTAGCTTTAATTATAATATGCTATACAACATAAGTAGTACCTTAACCACATATGTTAGCTTTAATTATAATATGCCATACAACGTAAGGTTAAGGATTTCTAACTTATAATTAGGTAACACGGAATCTTCGGTTAGTTATTTTCAACGACGTTTTCGGACATAATCCTGATGTATAAAAGGGGTTTGGGCAGTTTCGGAAACTTACGTTATGCTAAATCCACATATTAAGCTTACAGTAGAAATTAATCTTTTATGGATAACTTACTTCATCCGATTTTTTTTAAAAGTTTAAATATACAAGATTAATAAATTCTAACACTGTTAAACCAAATTTAAATATACAAGATTAATAAATCTTAACAAATAAATTGACGTATAAATGTTGTTAATAAGCATGCTTTTTTTCCAGAAATTTGTTGTAAACATGTTTTTTATTTATTTATATGTAACAAAAATTTTGTTTTTAAGGTTAATTTTCAATTTTTCTCGTTTGTAGGCCGAGCAAATTCGAGGTTTGATTGACCGATTTTGTATAGAAAGTGCTCAAGTAAGTATTTACTAATGATGTATATAATAACAACAACAATAATAACATACAAATATTGTATGGGGGTAATCGCAACTGATTGAAAAACGACATTTTATTTTTTCTAAAAACAGTTTAATTTCTACCTCATAAAATTGTATTTTAATCAAACAACAGTTGTAGAATAATTATGGAGTAAGTAAATGTTTTATGCTTTCTCCGCCAGGGGGCGTATGAGTACGTCCAAGCTGTGGCTGATTACATCACTCAAGAATCGACGCTTCTCAGTTTCCAGAAAGGTGACATAATCAGGATAGTGAAACACAAGAATCTGAATGTGGATAAAGGTAGTGAGAACTTGGTGATTCATTTTAGGAAAATTTTATTCACTGTTTCTGTTCAATTAGGACTACTTGTTTTCGTAATAATCCTCACTAAGATTACAAATCGGAAAGGTACAAGTTTGCTTGCAAAATAACATTTGGGTCCAAACTCGTTTATTATTATCTCGTGAAGAACGTTCCTAAGGATCAGGTATTTGACTGAAATATTAACAAATATCATGTATAACAGCCAGAAAACGTAAAGATACTGAACATTGTTTTTGAATAGCGTTGTTCTACTAACAGGTATTGATTACGTGTGATATTGGTAAGTAAATTATAATTTTGGAAAAGTATCTAATGTGTTTAATTCAACTTGTTTTCCCTAGCCTACTTTATATACGGTTACCGTGTAGGTAATGTTTCCGGCTGAACTTGGAACTTTCCGACACGCCCAAACGTTTTGTTTAAAAGGCGATCAACCATCAGATACTTCTAGTTGTACATTGTTACTGTTACAATATACGTGAATCACGCACAGTATCACAGTGTACCTGTAGTGTAGGCTTGTCACACGCATCCTGGTGTTAGTGTAGGCTTGTCACACGCATCCTGGTGTTAGTGTAGGCTTGTCACACGCATCCTGGTGTTAGTGTAGGCTTGTCACACGCATCCTGGTGTTAGTGTAGGCTTGCCACACGCATCCTGGTGTTAGTGTAGGCTTGCCACACGCATCCTGGTGTTAGTGTAGGCTTGCCACACGCATCCTGGTGTTAGTGTAGGCTTGCCCCAGGATGCGTGTGACAAGCCTACACTAACACCAGGATGCGTGTTGTTAGTGTAGGCTTGTCACACGCATCCT